CATTTTATTTTCATTTACAAAAAAAAAGAGAGAAAAAATATATCTGTATGACACAATGAAGTATGTATAAAAAGAAAAAAAAGGGGGGAGAAGATCGAACGTATATATTATGTTTGTAAATTTTTTTGAACGCACTGATCAATGAAAACGAATAATGAATAATTGCATTACGTAACATACGCCTACTTCTTTTCCGTTGCTCGTCATCGTTATCGGCCGCTATTCGAAATCATTCATCATATAAAAAGATAAACGCGTTACCCTGATTAATTCTATCCGTCGTGAAACATATTTTACACGGTACGCACGCAGTATTTTTTTTTATTACACGGGGCAACTTCATGATCTAGTATTCTGATCGACGCAACCGGTGTTCTTTTTCATCACCAAATTCTGCAGGCTGAACTCTTTCAGGATGTCGCACGCTCGTTGCCTCTTTATGTCTTTAAGAACCTGTCTTATGAACATATCCTTTTGTACTTGAGAAACCAAAAACTCGTCCGAGAGCTTATCGAGCGCGTCCCGAAGCCAATGGCCCACCCATTTCAAGTACTGCCTCTTCAACGCTACCAGGACCTCCGCGTATGGATCTAAGTTGTTCCGTGGTACTCTCCCAGCTGTTCATGCAATAATAAATCCTTTCAAGTAAATCATTCGCCAAAGGATTCGAAAAAAGGAAAAGAAGAATTCTACTCACCCACGCATTGCATGATCAGAAAAATAAGCTCCGGGCCGATCTGCTGCACGAACGTGTTAAATTCCGGAACGTCTATTATGTGACTCAGAAAACAGGCGGACGCTTTGACCGTCCCGATTTCTGGTAACGTCAGACAATCGATTCCTGCAGAAAATATGCTATGTGACAAGAATAATGGAAACATGTAGCAACCAACACCTTACCGCACTGTAACATTTCAGGTACTTGGTCCTGGACCTGCAACAACATCCTAGAATTCTTCTTGCAAATCTGCGCCAGTAGTCCAAGGTACGATTCCATCAGTTCCGCCCAATCGGATAGGTTACCGCGCACAGATCTGCAGGCTCTCACGCCGCTTAAAGTGACGGAGCTCAGTTCTGCGAAGACATGGTTTATCGCGTTCTCGGGGTCTTGGCCGAGCAGCAGTACCAGTTGCCGCAGGAGGTTCAGTGCAGCTGGATGAGGCCAGTTCTTGTACGATGTGGCCAAAATCGGTAGAAGCGGTCGAGCGTCTACCGCCGGATGCAACAACGACAACAGAGACTTCTGCGCGCAAATGTACATCTCCTCCAACGTGGAATTGTCTTGGCTCCATTCGGGATGGCCGATTATTTGATTGAATATAGGCAGAAGTCCGTCCAACACAGGTTTCCCGATGGACCCTTCCAACGTGGAGAAAAACATTGTAGCCATTTTCAATTGGTTTGTCACCGCATCACGGGCTACGAATAATGGTTGCTCCAATAGCTCTCTGATTTTTATTATACATAAACCCAACGTGGCGTCCAAGTGAGCTATCTTTTCTTCCACGGTGGACAAAATGTTTAACAATTTGCCGGCTGCGTACATCAGTCGCAGGCCTTCTGCACATCCAGGTGTAACTGTTGGCAGCGTTTGCTCGATGATGTTGAGGATAGAAGGTGCGAAAGGCGTAAGGTGTTGGTTGCACTCTCTCACCAGGTCCTTCAAGGCCATGCTAGCGAGAGGTGCGGTGACTAAACCGCTGGTTAAACCTAATGTCACAACTCGCAATACTTTCTCCAGCCAAGGGTCTGGATGCATGCCTATCCACTCGGCGTACCTTCCCACTGTTGAACAGACGCAGGCCAGTACCTAGGAATTGGACAGAGTGTTCAATGGAATCTTCAATGGTTGGTCATGTAACCATTTTAATGTAGAGGAATTGTTTGTACCTCCCGAGGGTAGAGATCATACGGAATATGAGTTACGACTAAATCCATTATAGCAGGAATGTAATGTGATTCTTGTATCTCTACGCTGTCCGCTAATGCCTCGAACGCGTGTAACGTTGACTCCACTTCTGTCCATTTCTCTGAACCGTCCAACGTTCGACTTAATCTTTGCCCGAGAAGGACTAGCAAGTCTTGTCCCAGTACTCTGTAACAATATTCTAAGGTATCCGCAACATCTTGCCTGTAGCACCTGAAAAGTTCTCGTTCGTTTACATCCCCAGCTTCATTGGGGGATGAAGGAAGCGTAGATTTACGCAACAGTGCTTGCGCTAGTCTCGCGTACACAGGTTTCAAGACCAAGTAAGCACGACTTTCATAGGGCTCGTCGAGAGTGTTGATATCATCTTGTAATGAGTACCAAAATCCGAATGGGATACAACTGCGAGTCTCATCTGTTGGATACCGTCCTTCTTGCTCAGAACATTGCAGCAGTAACTCGATTAAACCCTCCGAAGTCGATTTTTGTGTTTCGTTCCCTTCTTCCACTAGAGCATGTAAAAAATATCTGCTGTGTGCCTCTCCCATAGCAGTTAAAATTTCGCAGAAGTACTTTCCATTGTATTGTCTTGCCATAGTTACCAAACTTTGTGCCCAATTCCATAATGTTTGCGGTCTGTTTCTAAGCTCGCAATGGTTCACTATCATGTTTAAACATTCGTGAACTACTTCCCAACCTTTGCTGTCATCTGCTTCTGCATTGTCCCTTTAATTCATTGTGAAACAGTTATGTCAGTTAAATTGTCAAGACACTATGAAATAAATGTCATTTGGACAGGTATACCTGCTAGGTGCATAGTAAGCTGCAGCGATTAATAAATGATGATATATTTGCTCTGATGCGTCTAAAGGTAATTGACTAACTTTCAACCAAAATAACGCACATTCCATTGCCAGTAGATGCAACCCACTGTCACTGCCCGGGGAATTTGGGTTGCACATGGTGAAAACTTGTTGCAGAAGCCAAGTTGTTTTGCACCAACCATTGACTAAATTTTCACGTAGTTTTATTCTTCTCGCTTCGTATCTCCTTTCAAACTGATTAAATTGATTACAACTGTTAATATGATAAGATGCAGCAACATGCAAACTTAAGAGGTATACTTTACCTCTACCGGTAACAGAGAAAGTGTACGCAATAACAATTCCAACATAGGAAGCGAATCAAAGGGCAACATGCCCATTAGTTCGTCGACAACATTTTTACTCTCTTCCTCACTTTCCATAGCACTAACATTTGCTAAGAATGCAGCTAACTGAAATCAGAAGAATTTGTTATTACTACATTTCTGAATGCCTTCACGATTAACTTTATATGGAAGAACATAAAACATTACTGCCTGACAAAGCTTTGATAGAATAAACTTTGGTATATTTGGTTGTTTTATATTATTGAGCAAACGGTCTCGTAGGGCAGGGTACTCATTTTGAGGCACTTCGTCCCAATGTTTAGAAATCTTGGCGTATAAAGTAGTGGCCGCGAAGAATTGTACTTCCCACGACTAAAAAATGAATTAAAATTATTGATAACAACTAAACATCTAATACAAAGAACTGAAAGAGCAGCCTACCTTAGAAGGGTCAAGGAGTTCCCAAACAAAGGTCCAAGCTTCCGGAGAAGCCTGCACCCGTAGAAGCCACGTATGTACCTCATTGTTTCCATCAGCATAAAACTGTTTCACAGCCTGATCAACAACAGCTGTATAATCCATTCCAGATTAATCGTTTATTCCACAAAACCTTTTCTGATTAAATGTTCTTATATTATTTATCTATACATCTATGAATGTCTCATTGTCAGCAAGTAACCATCACTGTCAGTATTTTGTACTTAGTTCGTCTCGTTGATAGTATCATCGAGAACTTCTCTATCATCTTCCTCGAAAGTCATTTGAACCACGGCCCTTTGAAATATTCACGCAAAATCTTCAAAATTTTGTGTTTACACGGTCCTTTCTAATCGTTTTAAAGATTTCACGAATTACGCAAATGACACTTCCCGAGTACTCTCATCATCTGTGATAACTCTATTTTTCTAATAAACTTCGAAAATAGTTCGACGATTATCTTGTGATTAATATAAATTTCAATGAAAATAAAAATCTACAGTATGAAACGAGTTCTAATTCTAGAAAAGATTGAATGCAATCACATTCTAACCTTCGTTCCTCAAGCACCGATTCATACGACTGATTTGAATGTATGTAAGTAGTGGATTCGCATGGCTGAATAAGTCTGTGCGAATAGGGACTTAACAAAATAACCTCAAAAAAATTTAACAGCTGATTATGTTACGCCTTTATATCAAATGAAACTGAGTTCCTTTTTATTTTCTTCCTCGTGAAGTATTTTACTCAATTACTGCTTAAATATTCAACGGATAATATAATATATATATATATATATGTATGTATATTATCCGTTGAATATATATATGTATATATTATATACATATATATATTTAGAATTATCATATACAATGACACAACAAACTTCTTATGACATGAATTAAAAAGTTATTTTAATTAAACACAATGAAATGGAAATTTTTATTATAACTTTGAGCTCTCAAGTGTTATTATAATTAATGCGAGAAAATTAAAAAAAGACTTTTGCTTCTTCTCTTTGCATTATTATAGCAAATACACTAAACAAATTCCATATGTACTATACAATAATGCTAATCTACTTATAAATCAACAGTTACAGCATTTATCATATCTATTTTATGAAGTTTATAAAATATCCTAATCACAATTTACTCTTTCTTTCAATGCATTTGCCTTTAAAAAGCATGACACAATACACACCCACAGAAATACAATATGGTACTCGAAATAAATAAATTTGTTCATTTTAAGTATACATTTTCGAACTAAAGTTTACGCTACATTGAATTTTTCATTGAACTAAAATGCAGACACATGAATAAACACAGTTGGAAGCTTAAGTATGATTTAAATTCACATAATTTACCGAGCTGTAACATCGTACCGCTTGGAATTTGGCTGTACAGTATTGATATTTCTAGTAAATGAATATACATGAACATTTCTCACAGTTTATGCATATAATTACATATACATACTATTTTTGTTGGAAGAAATGTATACTAATAAACTATCATGCAAAATATCTATACCATTAGATGAGCCTGTTAAAGATTCATGCAACTTTTTGAAGTTGCTGCTTCTTTGATATATTTAGTATGTAAAATATTCCTATCAGCACGTTGCATCTAGTAACAAATATGTTTTTTATTTTTCCAATTTTTACCTGACAATAATTCTTTTTTATAGAACACTTTAATGTAATCGTCACGATTACGTTTAATATTATATAATATATAACCTCCTTCGTATCCTCTGTGTAAAACCTTGAAATTTAATATTTAATAAAATGCAATATGTTTCTAAAAGATCTCTCTCTCTCTCTCTCTTGAGAAACTAATCACTAGTTCCTCTACTTTCTAATTATGTTTCCTATGCTTTGTATGCATTTTCACTAAGACAAATCGATCCTGTAACTTTAACTTTCTTATCTAAAGTGAAACGATATTATGCAACAATGATTATTCTGGGTAAACGAACTTATCGTACAAAATATAAATGAATGATGAACACTCGATTTCTCGAATACGTGATTCGCATTGTTTTAATTTAAGAATAATTAAAAAAAACCTCAGTGAAGCAGTACAAGCTATCATTGCATATCGCAACGATTTCACTTCGTTTTTTTGTGATGTCGCATACGTCATGTGGTATTCACTTTATGCGCTAAAAAAGAAACGAAAAATGAAGTCATTATTAAAGTACGATTCTAACTTGGAATAAATTCAAGAACTCTTACATGGTAATGGTATTCTGAGGGGCGCGTTGTCCTTAACAATGCATTCGTGTGTATGAGTGCGGAACAGATACTGTACCAATAACTGTTTCTCCTCTCCAACACACGGATCATAAAATCCAGGCAACTGACTCTGTGAAACGTCGAATTATATTTTTACTCCAATCAGCCCCACTAAATAGGTGTGTACCTCGTAAAAATAAAAAGTGATCTGCACCTTGGATGCATTGTGCAGGACTAACTTTGAATCCTTAACTAAACATTGCAATGGAATTGTTACATCAATGACCTCATCCCTATGCAGATGCTCATCCGAGGAGGATCTGTTCTGTTGAGGGTATACGAATCGTCCGTACAAAGCTTTGGTAATAATCAATCCCCTCTTCGACTCCTCCTCCGCTCTAATTCTGCTAACAGTAGCTTTCATTAATTCAGTAGCGATTTTCGCTTCCTTCTGCTTTTCCATCATCCTCGACTTGTTCATTTCCTTCTGTTTCTCTTTCTCGCGTTCCTGTCGTTCTTTTACCACTGGATCGATGACGATCTTTTTCACCACAGCCCAGGTCACTATCGGGACCACAGTCGCATAGAACACAGGAGCTGGAAGAAGCTCATCGCTCAAATGAAGAGAAAACGTATAAGATTGAGAGGCACGACTTAATTTTACTCTTAAAGTAACACCAGTTGGCACACCGACTCGCACAGCAGCTGAGAGACTACTGTGTCGTGAAACTTTTTTTTCTGCTCCATATTCAAGTAACATTCCAAATGTACCAGCCCTAGAAACGATGAAATCTCAATACTAAAACCGCCTGAAGCGAATGCAAGGACAGGGTACATACATTTATAAAGTATATAATAAACAATGGCCTGGTGGTTACTAACTTTATACTTCCACGCAGCTTCAGTTGCTTCTCTTCCATTTTATATGTATAATTAAGACTTACGAAGGTCTGTAGGATACCTAAGTGAATTGAAAATGCGGTATAGGATCTGGACGTGTCCCTTACGATCATTGTACTCATATCGTTTTGTATGCCTGCTCTGTACGTGAGATATCCTACCGTGTGCTTGTCTAGCTGCATTGCAAGAGCTGCAATCAATATTATTGTATTAAAGGAAAGTGTATATCTAATTCTGCAGTGTCTCTGTTTTAATTTCATCGATAAACATACTTCCTACAAGGCCAGGTCTTATTCCTCGCGCGGTAAATTGTAATATGGTAGCGCCATCGCAAAATAATCTTCTTGTTAATGTACGAAAACCTTTTAAAGACACTGTGGGCCCATTCCCTGCACCTATGTCCAATTCTAACCAGCCTTTAGATGAAACTAATCGTCTCGCAGAGACATTTATAGAACCAGAACCTGTTCCATTCTGTGTACCCAACTCTCCATACATGGTTACTGTGTCTCTTAAAGTAAGGGGTGCTTCAATGGACTGTGTAAATGACATTCCACTCACTTCCAAACATGAAAGTATCCCTTTGCTACATTTTAAAACACAATTGACAGTGTGATGTATATATCTGGTTTTTGATATGATTGTATATTACCTATCTTCATAGTCATCGTCGTATCTGTTAAAAAGATCCGTAGCATTCACATTAACTGTAATATTGCCCTTAGGATTTGTGTGCTGTTGTAGTCTTCTCTCTTCTCTTTCTCTGGCTAAGCGTTCATATTCTTCCCTAATCTCTTCAGGAGTTTTAGTGCGTTGCACAATTTCCCAGCCTTCTGTTTCTAATCCTCGAATTCCCACAGAGTCGTAAATAGCTCTCTGATGTGCATCACTCAAAACTGTTATATAAAACATATGTTATTTATGGAAAACTAAATACAAAATGTATTCATTACATCCTAGACAAACCTTCGTAAGCCTTTTTCGTACGGTTAAATAAAACTTCTGCCTCCTTTTTAAGTACTGGATCCGTATGCTTGTCTGGATGGTAAAGTCTGCTCTGCCTACGATAAGCATTGTTGATTTCTTCAACAGTTGCCTGTAAGCAAAGGCAATATAAACATCTATGATCTTTATGAAAAAATTATTAGCATCTTTCATTGTATAATTTTGTGAATTGGAAGAGCTATATTTTGCAGAAAGATTAGGGAAACTAGAGAATGCTCTGTTAACTGGACAAGTCCTTAACGCATAGAATTAATTGTGTACAGATCCTTTTACTAAAATGCACGAATTGTTAATGAAAAAGGAAAAAAATTATGGTCTGATGCTTACATATTAAGACTGAGGCGGATCAAGGCGAGAAAATAAGATCAACAAGAACAAATACAGTTTGGAGTGAAATACGAAATCGTGTAGCAATGATTTGGAATATTACTACAAAAGACCTGATTACATCAGAATCTAGGACAGAGCATGTCACGTGGAGGAGTGCGAATTGATCTCTACTCTTGACCGGAATGAACGAGCGAATTAGCACGGAAAATCAGTTTGCCATGACCACTCACGTTTCTGGCAACGTTCAGAAATGTATAATAATCGTCCTCGATTGGGTTTTCTTGATCATTATCGTCATCCATGTTAATTGCCTAAATTTTTCAGTCAGCGATTTGTTCAGTCTACGAGATCCAATATTTTCCCACGACTCAATCTTCTGCTTCCATAGGTTACGAAAGACTCGGTCGAGAACCGGCTTCTTCTGGTATCGCTACTTTTGCACAGATGGCGTCCCATCAGCCATTTTGTAGCCAATGCGTCGGTAATGTCGGTTTCTACTTGTAGATAAAGTCAGTTCCTGTTTGTTATTAAAAATCCTTTAACTATACATTTTAAATTCTTTTGTTAATATCCGTGATATGTTTTTATAAATATTCAATTAGAAATAAGCCGCCATAGAAGTTAGTCGATAAAATATTTCAACATTATAATTTAGTGAACATTGTAAATAAATAATACATTGAATAAAGAAACGCAGAAGTAGAATGGAAAATTTTGTTGCATTTCTTACAAATCGTCGATAGTAAAGTATTACACGAGCTTAGCAATGAAAGTAAATAATACGCCAAGGGGTTAATAAACGCACGCTCATGGTTTTGATACAAAAATTGGTAATTGGTATTTCTAGCGTTAAAGGCAGAAGTATGACACAATGGCTTGCAATGCCTCGTCAGGGAACGTGACCGCGTGTTAGCCGGTTCTGTCTCGGCTGACCATGGCGAACGAGCCACTATAAAAAGCTAATAAAACTCGGAGGGCGAGACGAGGTATGCTCGAAAGAAAGAGCAGCTCAGTGTTCCAGAGTCCGTTTTGCTTTGACATTCCCTAATCAAAACAAGAACTCCCCTTTTCCTTCGGCTTCCTGGAGCTCGTTCGGCCGCTCGTAATTTTTTCCTTTACACGGCTCAAAATATTGTGTTCCAGCGCAACGGTCGCCCCCTTAACTCCACTAATTTATCGGTCCTTCGCCCAGCGTGGCTCGAATGCAACGGATTTCATGGCCCTTAACAATTGAAGGACGTTTATAAAGAAAAAACAATATAAACGGGCATCGATAAAAACAAATGAAAAGAGAACGTTTCTTAACGAGCGCTTAAAATGAGACTATAAGTTTGCAGAAAGGTTAAAAAATGTTTGGTAAGAGGCTAGTGTTACCAGGTGAGCGATAACAATCGGAAAAGTAAAACGCTGGCGTTATAACGGATTATTAATCGCGCATGCGACCGCTAATGGTGGCGATAATGTTAAGAGGCGAAGAAACAATCGACCGGATCGGCCGGCGGTATTGTTAAACACGCTCATTGTGCCGGTCTAACAATACACTGTTACAGTGACAACATTCAGGGCCGCGAGTCCTAGTTTTCAATCAACAATCCGTTGCCACCCGTTGAAAAATATCCGGCCACGTTACGAATTTTAAACGCGACGATCGTTATCGAACGATCGCGACCGGTTTCGCGGACGCGGATTACATTAGACGAAATTGCAAAGAGAAATAATCATTCTGACCCTTCGCGGATGAAGATTCTCTAAAGTGTACAGAATCTTCTGCAGATTTTCCGAATTAGATATTGAATGCTGAGAGAATGATCTGTGTACTTCTTGTTTGAGTAGTGAAACCATTTGTTTGCAACTTGGTAGTACAAACATGAGAGCTCGCAAAATATTGACAGTCCGAAAAGTCAAAATGGCTCATTTCTAATTCTCTCCTTCGCGATTATCGGAAAGGTAAAAATATTTCTAAGAAATCATTAAACAAACCACTGAAGTCTCAATAAATATACTCTTACTGTCAACAAAAATTCAAAGAAGCTAATTCAACTGTTAGGTAGCTTTAGCGTTAACGCATCAAGTGTTAACACGTTGACTGCCACGAGAATTTCTAGCGTTTTGAATAGTAATACTTATTCTTTAATAACAAAGGCAAATGATATTGAAAATGATTATTAATGATTTAGTATTACAGTAGCCATATTACGCTATGATCTAGCTGCTTGTGTTACTAAATATTTCTATTTAAAAACAAGTTTTTCATTGCAATTGTTCTTCAGCAATTTGGAAGCTCCGATCATCGGCGACTCCCAAGCAAATCGAATACACTTAAATAAACGATGTTTATTCAGCTAGATCAACGTGCAATAATAATGCGATTCAATCTGTGTATTGTACTCTATAAAATCGTGAGCTAATCAACGTGTTAATGATTCAATTCACTTAAGAATTATCAAACCTTCAAGCTGTATTACCTTACCGAGTTTTAGGTGTTTATTTTTAGGTGTACGTTATCAATGCATAAAATTCGCAGTCTAATCATTATCGTCGCCGACGGACTATGTCGAAATCGTTGGCCGTGTGAAAGTGGCTTTTTCACGCGGTGACCCAGGCGAAGGAATAAAGAAACGCAAGCTGAACATATCCGTTATCAGTATCCTGCCTAAATCACGTAGCCTCATGTTACCCAATCGGCGGCACGTATCGTAGGTTGTTTCTCCGAATCGCTCCTGTAATCGCGTAGGAAGTAATATTGCTCGCAATCAATGGCCTGGCTGCTGGCCGCTGTTTATTCGTCCGGAGATGTGAATCATGAAAATGATTACGAGGCGTGGAAAGAGGCTGGTCCACCCAGTATGAAAATCCGATAGAGAACATTGCACTGCAACTGAAAATATAATAGAATTTTAAATCTCTTCTTTGAATCTATTATTCCTACCGCAAATTCTCGGGCGAAAAATAGTTAAAATTGAGAATGAACATTGTTTTTCATAGATCTCTCATTAACCCCTTGCACTCTGGAGATGACTCACCACTTAGTTTGATACAGTGAAATTATTAAGTTTGATGGTTAATACTAAACTTTGTTAACGCACCACTAAGTGAAATATCAAAGTAAAATACTTTTGGCGTCGTCTATATTTTATCAGTGTTGAATATTTCTAGTAAAACACTTTCGAGTGCAAAGGGTTAATAGTCAGCTTCAATATCAGAATAATTAAAAATCTCAAAAACCTTTGTGTTAAGCAAAAAAGAGAGAAATATCCGATTCACCCAGGATTTTGGGCTTTATCAGTTCCCAGAAATCAAAAGCTTTTACGAAATACAAAATCATTCTAAACCACATACTAAATATTCTACTCCAGCTCGAAGACGAATAACAAAGAATTCGCATAATCCTCAGCGATGAATACCCTGTCCTTCCCCAGGACAACAGTCCTCGGTCGCGGCAAGGACTCTGGAAGGAAGCGTCTACTGGGCCGGCGCGTGGAGGGTATGCAAGCTGATGCACCAGGTCGATCCTTCGTCCAATAGAGGAGCTTAATGTCACGCAGTCTCCGCCCAAAGTATGGCGACTACTTTTCCTTCCCCTCTGTGCCGCCGTGCGGAACGTCTCTTCCGCTGTGTGCGGCCAATAACACGTCCGATGGATCAATTAGCCGGATACTCTGCACGCGTCCGAATTCTAGAAACAATAGCCACTTGAAAAAACGAAGGAAAACCGAGGGGACAGGCGGACCCTGGAATTCCGAAGGTTCCGCTCGACGGTACATCTTCGTTGGCCATTATTTTGCAAAGACAAACTCATTGGTCCGACGTAACTGATAGTCCGGCGCGTTTCCCATTAGGATTCGGCTCTCCCGATGGCCCCCGTGGTGAACTGCATCGAGGCCACTGTATTGATCCGGACGAGCGCGGTCCGCCGATTGAAAAATTGCGGTTGCGCGTTACAGGGGCCGCAGGGGAATGAGCCGGCCCGTGGCCAGACCCAGCGCGATTCAGGCGACTCGCTGTCGAAACAGGGTTCACCTGGATTCGCCGGTGCCGCTCGTCGTGACCTTAATTCGCGCTCGATTCCGGCTAATGATTATCGTGCAGAACGACGGTTGCTTCACGCGGTTTCTCAACGGCCACCGGACCTCCGTCGCGTGCACTGTAATTCCTGATGCTTGCAGCATCGAACTCGGTGCGAATTCTTCACGAAATCTGATGTGCGTCCTCCGAGTTTCCATTCGGTTTCAGATACGTTGCAACTTGTGCTGGTTGGATGATGATTTTAGAAATAGATTCTTACCGGATTACTCGAGGAACTTGGAAGTATTGCCTTGTATGTTAATGTTTGAGGTTGTCGAGAGGCAATTGAACATTCAGATTCAAAAGCGTTTGCGGCACGCGAGAAAGAAATTTTCAATCTCTCGCGCCTATCGGTTTCTTCTCCTCTGAGTATTGTTATAGTCACGACCTGTAGTTTATCACGGGCGGGTCATCTTTGACCTCCTTGGACTGATACAATTGCAGATGCAATTCAATCGATCTGTCGCGGCTTCGCCAGAGAGCGCGGTAGATTCCTTGAAATTAGAATGTGCGTCAGCGATTGCGGGGCTACGATGCGTCTCTATTCATTGACGTACATTAAAATGACAAGCAGAATTAATCCTGAGCGTTCGAAATTCAAAATCGAATTATTCTAATTCTATTCTTAACACTGGAACCATCCACACAAAATGACCCACACTCGAATTCTCTCACAATCATAAAAAAACTCATCTGACAAATGACTAAACATCGATCTAACATCTACTATGATCAATATACCCTTACAGTATCCACAAAAAACACCAAAGCTAACTCCATTTAGTTCCAGTGTTAAACAAACAAACATTAAGCGTAGAATCTTTCTAAACCTTAAAGCACAGCTTTTCTATCCGCGAATCCCAACTAATTCTTCGAGCGAATCCAAAACATCGGGAACCGGGTTCAAGTTGCCCGTATCTCGGGGACATGATTCGATCGGGTAGATTTCGGCTGACAGAAGAGGCGGAGAGCCGCGGCGGAGAGCGAACCAGAAGAGGAGGAGGGCGTCGATAAGTTGGCCGGCTCACGAGGAGCGTAACCCCGCCTCTACGCGCCTCCACCCGCTCCGAATCGCTCGGCCGCTGGTTCGGAACGGTCTCAATCAGTCTCAATCTTGGCTGACTTTCCTCTCTTGACGTGTGTCCCTCTGAACCGCTCGTCCGCGTCGATACGCAGCCGGGAAGCCCCTAGAATATAGTGGCATCGTCGATTACCGATTCCGAAGTCGAAGGTAACAAACAAACGTTGCGTGGCCTAAGCTGATCGGGCGTAAGTCTGCCTGATCCTCATCGTTCTTTGTGACTCAAGTTGGAGACAGCTGGAAAGTGGCAGCTTTGGTGTTGACCTCGTCACCGGAGGCAGTTCAACCTCGTCCAGGATCTAGATTTCTCCAGCACCTACTTGGAAAATAGTGTTTTACGGTACCGGAAGAAGGATCTCAGTGGAATTAACAACGTCCTGCAGGTATGTTTACTTGGATTTCAACTTTGAAGACTGGTTCTTGGTCTTTGAAGCGGACATTGTTGAACGTTGAGCTACCGAGAGGAAGGTTTCAGCTTGTAGAGATGAATTTGGAGATTATTTGCTGGAAGGAATGGAAAGTTAATTAGATTAGTAGGGAATAGATGGCAGGAGAATTATTGTAGAGATCAGACTGTTTCTCAACTGCTTGTCCAGTGGATCTTGAAAGACGCTTCTTCGTTGTTCCAGTGATGATTTGAAGTTTCTTGAGCCTGGAAATTAGTTAGTGGTTTATTATGGAGATGCTAGTTTGGAGAATGTTTAGCAAATGTCGATGTAAGCGTACCTTTTCTGTGATTGTCCTTTGAAGTGTGGTTCCGGCGGGCAGTGCATGTTCCTGAACGATCAGCAATGCAGAAGTCCAATCAGAGTTACGTTGGTCTAACGTTGTCCGTTAATAATAAACGTTCCACGGCCGTGACACTTATGAATGAAGACGGTTTACTATAATGCAGACGAAACAAAATGAAAAAAATGGCGCGCGCCGTGCCGGAGATTTTGTGTAATATTTAAATATCTAGAAGGCTGGGTCGCTGACGAGTTTGTAAACTTCGTCCCGCGATTCTATGAACTTGAGACGCGGTGTTTAGTAAACAACGAGATAAATGGCTCTTCCTCCTGCGACGGAGATAACGAGTTTTCTTAATTACGTTAAAAGAATCCCAGCACCAGAGGCTAATTAATACTAATACTTGTTTACGAGCGACGGAACTGCCCGTCCATTAGGTGAACTAATTACGATCGATCGAGATTAACTCTGATTCATGGGGATTCATATCCAATTTACGTCCTGTCGAACGCGATTGATATCCCTCGGTTCAGCGGCAATTGAATCCTACTTTTTAAATAAATGTTCCTACATCTACAGTTAACGCGAATAATTCCTAAATTCAGATATCGATAAATTATCCTTATAAATTGTTACAACTGCTAACAACTTAGACCAACAAGAAGCTTCTCAATTGAATATTTCTATCACAAGAAAGTACATCTACAATTAACAAAAATAGTTCCTTGGTAAATTCAGATATTAATAAATCAATCTTACAGATTGTTACAACTGCTAACAACTTGGACCAAGAAGAAGTTTCTCAATTGAATATTTCCATCACAAGAAAGTACATCTACAGTTAACGCGAATAATTTCTCAGTGAATTCAGATACTAATAAATCAATCTTATAGATTGTTACAACTGCTAACAACTTGTACCAAGAAGAAGCTTGTTCTGAATCGAACATTTCTATATATACAGCAGCTAACAGAAATGATTTCTCAATAGCCTAGAGTGGGTCTTGATCAACTACCATTAGCAGCTCTTAATGGGCAGAGGGTCTAAAATAGTCGTGTTTGACGGGCCGCGTACACCCTCTTATTGTCGAAATTTACGAGAGTATTCTCTGGAGGACGCGGCGAGGATCCTATGTCGGCGGCCGCCGGAAGTCTGAACGACTCCGCCAGGAGAGGATCCCTTTCCTCGTTCACGGCTAAAGTGTTCAGCTGTTGCTCGCTCGTCACCGATCCCTCCCGGTCGTCGCTGTTGGTGTCAAACTTCTTGTCCCGATGAATCTTTGAAAGCCGCTGCGTCGCTGGCTTTGAGTCCCGCGGACGTTGTCATGAACAAGATCATTCCAGCAGCTCTAGGGTTCCGGCTCTTCCCTTGGAGAGTTGTTTTTAGGACCGTGCGACTGGATTCGGAGGTTTCCTTTTTAACCTGAACATCTTCTTACTTGCTCAACTGTTAAATAACCAAACAATAACCAGGTTAATAGAAGCAAAGAACAGTTGCTCTTTCAACAGTAGAATTACCAGAGCAAATTGACTCTGAATCCTTTCACAGTTATTAAAAAGCTTATAGAAGGTTCAAGAAATAAGGGACATTGGTTTATGAATGTGCAAAGTAAATCTTAAGTTAACTGAAGTTTCAATAGCTGTACTCTTAGAGCGTAGAGCTTAGAGCTTAGCACTCTTAGAGCCTAGAACTTAGAGCCAACAGCAAAATCTCCACAAGTTGCTCGGTAGTTCCATCGCCAACAAAGCCTCTCAACACTCTGCCATCCAGCCAAGTTAACATTCCCATCATCCTCTTCGGTTACAGATCCACGGTCCACAGTCGCCTCAGCAAGAGGACTCAGTGTACGCAATCGCCGGTCGTTCCGCGCCGCGACACCGTTCCTGAAGATGTAACACCAAGTGTGCATCACCTGGCGACAGTGTGAACAGTGCTCGACCGTTAAAAACACCGCTAAGTGTCAGTGTACCCAAAACTCTAAAACCCCGAGACGCTGCACGCAGCTGGACCAGCCCGAGGAGGCGTCGTAGCCGAGATCAGTGTCGTGTAAATGCAACTGCCGGTGATTCTATGAATCACGAGGACCTGCAGAAGACGAGGATGGTATCGCACGTTATTCCCGTTGCAGGGGTGAGTTCAATCCTGTCGGACTGCGATTCTCTTCGAACAATCCTCCTCTCCGAGATCTCCGTCGCATTAAAAGAACCGCGGGTCGCATCTTTATCTTGGTCTAGCACGCATCGGTTTCATCATCGCTATGCAGAACGCCGATTTTCATGAATTTCCCCGCGTTTTCGTCCCCGGTTCCCCGGCCTGCCCGCTGAAACGCACGATAAAACGTCACACGCTCCGCATCTCTTATCATCGCCGCGCGGGGAGCTGAGGGGGGTGCGACGGGAGGGCGACCGAGAGGGAAGAAAAAAAGAAACGAGAAAAAGCGTGGGTCGCGACCTCGAAAATTTCGCAATAAATCCGACGATCTGCGTCTTCTGCGCGGCGTCGCGTCGCGTCGCGTTGCCGCTCGACTCGACGACACCGTGTTCTCGTTCGCCCGTCCGACGAGTGATCCGGAGCGCGGACAGCGGGTCTTTTCTTCGCTCGTCCACGGTGGCGTCGATCGATGCGAGTGCCGATGCCGAACTTATTCAGCGAGCCGGTTCGATGAATGAACGCTACCGGCGATTGAGTGTCGAACGGTGTTCAATTGCCTGGTCGGCGAATCAATAGAAACTCGTGTTACGCGGAGAACTACTTTGCAATTATTGGTTCAGTCGATTCGAACAGATGAAAGCGCGATCGGCAGTAGGACTTGAATTCGTTGAGACTGTGATTGTCGATAGTAAAGTCACCACTCCTTAATGTCTTTCTTTGCAATTACTGGAAAGTTAGGGACACTTCCATGAGAAATTATTGCAGAAGCTGATATAGTAATGTGTTAACTGAAATGTAAGCTTAATCCTAATGAATCCACGCTGGTAGCTTTCATTGAGTTTTCAACAGTTCGAGTGCTCAGTAGCTGTAATGTTAAGAATTAACATCGAATTTCTAGATACTATTAAGATTTCAATTGACTCATATTTCAGTTTGGATATTAGTAAGTTAGCTTCATTAATAATTCCTTGAAACTGTCAATAATAGTAAAAGAAACAATCGTAAAGGAAGAAATCAGCCAGGTCATTTGATCCATCTAGTAGTCCTAGTATTAACAAAATAATTTAAACACCTACTATTCTATTAACAGAATATTATCCAATTGAACACCTTTCTCGACCAAACGAGCGATCAATCGAATCCAGCTCGAAAATGACTAAAAACCTCTAAGCTCGAGGCTTATTGTTTATTAAGCCGTTGATAAGAAGCGCGTCGTCGACCCGCGGCCGATATTTCACGCCAGCGTTGAATGATCGCCTACGACCGAACTTTCCTCTTCTTCTCCTTCTTTTTCCTCCCCGTCTTAAGGAGAGGTTCAAAGCTACCGTTGAGATAGGATTGGGCTTAATTTAATGGCTGTCCTGTTGAATTAACGAGCCGGCCACGTGTTCCTGAAAGCTCCTCCGAGGACGTTCTTCAGTGTCAGCCTGTTGATGCAGTTCTCCGGTCGTGCGAACGGTGTCTGCGCGTGTCGCTCCTCTTGGTATGCGCTGCTGCCGTAGGAATTCAGATTCAGCCTGAATTTCTCTACTCGCCGGGAGCCGGATGATTCGTTTGAACGTTGGGTCAGTGACATGTCCCTTAGATTCAGTGAATACTACCTCTTCAGACTGCGCTCCTCGCTTCTGACGTTGCTACCTTGGAACGTTTTCAGCTTTCTGTCTTACAGACGTCTCTTCAGCAACTCCAATCTGATTTTCTTAAAGCTGTCTACCCTAAAATTTGAAATAACAAATATACAATGAACAGAGAAGCTAGAATTTCAGCCTGAATTTCATCACTCGCCGGGAGCCGGATGATTCGCTTGAATATTGGGTCAGTAACATGTCTCTTAAATTCAATGGATCCTTCTTCAGACTGCTGTTCGCTTCAGACGTTGCTACCTTGGAACGTTTTCAGCTTTCTGTCTTACAGACGTCTCTTCAGCAACTCCAATCTGATTTTCTTAAAGCTGTCTACCCTAAAATTCGCGATAACAAATATAGTACAATGAATAGAGAAGCTAGAATCGAACTAGATCACTTACAGCTTGTTAGAGCAACGTTTCTACTTGTACCGAGTGCCAGAACGGTTGAAAAAATATTCTCCCGCGAAGGGTTGACGCGTGGAAGGTAAGCAGCAAGGGATTTCTTCGGTTCTCGGGTCGGTGTTTGGTTGTTTTCGCGCGAAGTACAGAGACGGGCCGCGGCAGAACTAGACGTCGTAAAGCCGGATCGCGAATTAACGATCTAGAGAGATCGTAAGTTTCGCTTGGCATAATACGATGTCACAACACCGGGTCGGTGTTTGTAAGCTTCCGGCGACGGCACTTCAAACATCGCAAGCTCCGAGCCAGAAGGCTCTTTGGCTTCGTTCACCGGGCGCCGGTGGTGGATGCTTCTTCTGGTTCGTTCACCTTTACGGCCGGACGGCTAGCTTTTGGCAAAGGATCGTCGGGTCCTCTTCAGCTTCTAAAAAGGAGTGATTCCATTAGTAATTTAATCAACGACACAATGCAGTGTTATGGAAATATTAGAATGTTCATACAGCTTCTTGGCAAGGCACATCCTTAATGAAGATTGCAGGTCTCTTTAGTCCATAGACATCCCCTAAGTATCATCCACTATCCAGTCACTCGACTTCCCAAATATCTAGCAATAAGTAACAATAACAAGACAGTAAATAAATTTAAAAAATTCTTTCAGTGACTTTAATAGACTAATTGTCTCATTTTCATATGACCTTTCACTCCATAGACATCCTTTAACAACCATCAACTACCCAGTCATTCGACTTTCCAAATATCTATCAACAATACCAACTACCACACAAACTAAATAGAAAAAATCCTTCCAGGAACTGCAACAGGGTAATGGAAGCCTAGGGGTAGGTCTGGGCAGTATGCAGGAGTCCTCTCATCCCCTGAAGATCAAGCAGGAGCCATTCCAGGTGTCCCCGTCCTCCCCGCTGCCGTCTCTTCATCAAGGTAAGCGAGCACGCAGATCTGCGAACACACAGAGAGAGAGAGAGAGAGACCAGTTAATCGTCGTTGCCCGGTTGGTCGAGTTCAGAAATTCGTTTGACGTCATTGCCAGGGTGTTCACCACCACGGTACGGACCAATGATTCCTTGGTCTCCTCATAGTGGCTGAATACTCGCGTTCTAATAATACAAAACCGCCTCGAGTATCGCGTGACAGGGAAGAAGAGGGGGCGGGTGGTGGAGA